ATGGCAAATGCAGTGAAACATAGTCCGTAACGTTGTCTATGAATAGTCGCAAACATATGATCACCAAAAGTGAGACAAACGTTGTTTCAAACAATTGTTGTTTCAATTGATCCACAAATTAGTGATTAATAATGACTTCGGGCGGAGGATTCAGTTTCGGGTCAACACAGCCATCGCTGTCGACGACATCCAATCCGTTTGGATCGACCGGTTTTGGCGCTCAGACCACACAAGCCTTCGGTTTCGGCACTTCGGCGCCAAACCAAACCACAAACGCCTTCTCCTTCCAGCCCTTCACTTCTTCGGCCACCACTTCCTCCGCATTCCCATCGTTCGGATCCACACAACAGAACCAGTTCTCCTTCCCGAGTGTCACCACAACTCAGTCGACCGCAAGTGGCTTCAACTTTGGCAGTGGTTTAGGGCAGCCGTCGTCTAACACATCCCTCTTCGGCGCCCAACGACCGCAACAACCCTTCGGTTTTATGGGCTCTTCGGCGCCTCAGACGCAGCAGACATCGCAGTCGGCGTCCAATCAACTGAACCAACAAAACGCCAATATTTTCGCCCCAAAGATATATAACGACGAGAGGGACGAAACCATCGCTCAGTTCAATAGAGTGCAGGCCTTCTGGGGGTCGGGAAAGGCCTTCTACTCGGCATTCCTGCCTCCCTATGACATCAGCCAAACTGATCCGACACATCGATTCAAATCCATCGGTTACTCCGAGTACAGGAAACACGACTCAAACGAAACATCTGACAATAAAATGGGGTTTTTGGTCAAAATGGTTGGCAATGAGTCACAGCTGAAGACATCGCTTCTGACTTACGAGCAAAACCTGAAGTCAATAATTGGCGTCAATTTGATGAGTAAACTGGAGATCACGAAAGTGTTGCCCGAAAACAAAGCCGTCATATCGTTGTCAGTCACGGATCCTATGACTAATAAATCCTTGTCTTCGCTTCACTTGCAAAACGTCTTCAATCAGCAGAACATTAAGAATCAGTTGAATAATGTGTTTATGAATACATTCGTGAATATCGTTCCGATGGCACAGCTGTCCAAACAAGAACTCGAAGAATATCTCAATACTCCCCCGAAAGGCATTGACGAGAGACTGTGGGCTCAGGCGAAGCACGAGAATCCCGACCCCAACCGCTTCATTCCGGTGCCATTAGTAGGCTTTGCGGCACTGAATGAGCGCTTTAAACTACAGGAACGGGAGACCGAACAGCACAAGATGAGACTCCAACTCATCACCGATGATGTGTCGGCAATGGAAAGGCATGTCATGGAAACGAAATCCAAGTTAGACGAGTGCCGTCGCAAACACATCGCACTCTCCAATCGCGTGCTTAGGATAATGATCTCTCAGGAAGTTGTGCGTCAAAGAGGGTTTCCTATTCAGGCCGAAGAGGATCAGCTGAAGGCCAAACTGGAAGCGATTCAATCGGAGCTGTCGGCGCCCACCAAATTCCAGGGCTGTCTCAACGAACTCATGTCTCAGTTAAGACAACTCCAGAGCCAACACCAGTCGGGAGTGTGTGTGTCGTTGGACTCTGGGCTGAGCACAGACCTGAAGACATTCCTGAAGCAGGAACAGGAGGGCATATCACACCTCGTCTCCATCCTTAAGCAAGACATGAAAGAACTGGAGGCCATCAAGACTGATAAACAATCACCAAATGTCTGATTGCGTGCATCACTAATACATTAATTCATTAATTATTATTATATTTTACACATTATTTCGAGAAAATTTTAGTTAATTATTATAATTGTAATCGAAATTGCAGTGAATTTTTACAAATAAAGGATACATTTGATTGGAAATGAAATGCAATTGAATTGAATGCCAGTCATTGTGGACGTAATTGACATGAAATGAATGATAAGTTTGTTTTGATTGAAAACATTTTGAGTGAAACTCACAGTCAATACGAAACATGTGTTTCAAAAAGCCATTGATTTGAGTGTTGATTGAATTGAATTGAAATATTGTTTTCAATTGAAATGAAACTAATTTTATTGAATAAGACACTGAGAAGTGGGACGACGGCTGGATGTGTTTGAGTGATATCTTCCATACATATAGCTAACTATCAGTGAATCCAATGTTTTCCTTATTGTATGGATTGTGGAAATATCTGTTCCAGAAGGAGGAGTACTTTGCGTTGATCTTAGGCTTAGACAACGCCGGAAAGACCACGTTTCTGGAGCAGTCTAAGACACAACTCAACCATCAGTACAAAGGGGTGGCACTCAATAAGATCACCGCAACAGTTGGTCTCAACATCGGTCGCATTCACACCAATGGTATTGTACTTATAATCACTAATTTGTGGATCAATTGAAACAACAATTGTTTGAAACAACGTTTGTCTCACTTTTGGTGATCATATGTTTGCGACTATTCATAGACAACGTTACGGACTATGTTTCACTGCATTTGCCATGAATTTGTTTGTCTGGAAGGCTATCATAGAATAACTGTTCAATAATTGAACTTGCTAAATACTTATAAGTACGGTGATTGAAATATTTTTAGTTGTTTTAAATTTTTATACAAAATATTAATAACATTACTATTGTTTAGTATATTAATTATAAAAAGATATTGTATTTATTACTCATTAGAATAAATATTATTCGTATAAGTGTCACACCCTGGACATTTTAGTAAAGAATCCTTTAGTAGTTATAAATATTATGCAATTTGTTATGTTTAAAATTTAAAATGAATTATAATATTTATGTATTATATACTGTAATTTATGAGTTTTATGGTAACTGTTTGCAATTTACTTGAAATACAGCATAACACAAAGAATTACCTAGGTTCGAAGGTCAGCATTAAAAAGATATTATATACTAATGTATCATATGTATGTCGAAATTGACATGTTTTACGATTATAGTACCCATATTAATACTATAAAATCGAGGTTAAACTACCGTACTTGGTTTATTAAGTACCTTTAGTGATTGAAAGCAATTCATAGAATTCGATACAAAACTTAATTATTTGTGTAAAAGTGTTTACAAATTGAGTAAATTTATTGTGAAATAATGAATCAGTCGTTTAGGTTGTCGTGAAAAGTGAGGCAAAAATATTTGTTATATAAATATTATAAGTTTGTATGAAGTGATAAAGTGCTGCACCGGAGCATAACTGTGCAAAGATTGAGCAAAAGCTGAGCACTTGAATCAAAGATAGGACTCTTGTGTTGCATATTAAACATTAAGTAAGAATTTTTCACTTCATTTGAGTCTTTCTGTTAGAATAGATCTGATCTGAGAATAAACACAATCGACACAAATGTTTATATAATTGGCTCATTTGGTTCACTTAATCGATGACAATGTCTTAAATAACATTCAAATTGATGATTGTGTGGACAGATGGGAAGGGAATTGGTTGTCAGTGCAGTGATTGTCATCTCATTGTTTGGTTTCTGTGTTGAAAGTATGGCTTCGTTTATATAAGAATTTTAGTGTAGTAAACTATTGTTAATAAGTCAACAATTAGTTATGTAAGGAGATTATGGCCTAATGCAATAAACCCTGGCTCCAAACGTCTCTAAATTTTTTTATTCAGAAAATTTGCCTGATAAATTTATTGTTAAATTTCAAGATTGAGTTTGTTGCACGACTTATATTTTAAAATTTATATTTTCAAAATTACAAATTATTATATAATCATCATATTATGATGCAAAATTATTTTATTAGCTATAGGAAAACCCCATAAGAATTTGCATTAGCAATTATATTGAGTTATAATTCAAAGTAAATATTAATTTTTATTACATGTAATTAGAAGTGAATAAATTATACAATATTTGCCAATGATTAGAGTGTTTATTGTGCTCACAAACAAAAATACCAGCAAATAGGATTTCCAAATCACCTTGGCAGTAATAATAATGTTATCTCAGGTATTGGCGGGAAGTTAGGCTTTCTCAATCATTTTTGACTAATGCATAGTGATAATTAATTTAAAAAGGGTAACATGTAACATAAATGAACAACATTAATTTTATTTTATAAACTTGAAATTAAAATTAATTATAATATATTTTGTAAATAATGTTTAATATTAATAGTTTACCAAAGATTATGAATAATCTAGTTTTGACACAATCTCTATCTTTATGTTCAGTTCATTTACCTTAACTAAAGTCTATATTTATATGTTAATAGAGTATCACAACTTTCATACCGAAGCAAATATATTCTTAAAATCACATCATTTGATAACAATTATTCAGTTGTTAATCAATACATTCCTCTAATACCGGATTACGTTATTTGGGACCGAGGTTTGCAGAGATTTTTTTTTTTATTCAGAAAATTTGCTTGATACATTTATTGTTAAATTTCAAGATTGAGTTTGTAGAACGACTTATATTTTAAAATTTATAATTTCAAAATTACAAATTATTATATAATCATCATATTATGATGCAAAATTATTTTATTAGCTATAGGAAAACCCCATAAGAATTTGCATTAGCAATTATATTGAGCTATAATTCAAAGCAAATATTAATTTTTATTACATGTAATTAGAAGTGAATAAATTATACAATATTTGCCAATGATTAAGGTGTTTATTGTGCTCACAAACAAAAATACCAGCATATAGGATTTCCAAATCACCTTGGCAGTAATAATAGTGTTATCTCAGGTATTGGCGGGAAGTTAGGCTTTCTCAATCATTTTTGACTAATGCATAGTGATAATTAATTTAAAAAGGGTAATATGTAGCATAAATGACAAGCATTAATTTTATTTTATAAACTTGAAATTAAAATTAATTATAATATATATTGTAAATAATGTTTAATATTAATAGTTTACCAAAGATTATGAATAATCTAGTTTTGACACAATCTCTATCTTTATGTTCAGTTCATTTACCTTAACTAAAGTCTATATTTATATGTTAATAGAGTATTTATTTGTCTTATGTTATATAATATTAGACTTAACTTATAATTAATATTTTGAGTAAGTTTTGAGTTGAAATATTTAATTTTAAAGTTTACTTTATTTAGAAAATTGTGATACATTTACGGCAAAATCTCTTTTTGAGAGATACCGCATACACTCTGATATTGAATACAATCGATGTTGAGTTCAAATCTCCAAATGATTTATTTTTCTTTTTAAGATAAATAGAGTTTTATATAACTTATATACTATGATATTGGGGTTCAGATGTCTGCAATATCCAACAGAAAGTTTAATTAAAAATATTTTTAATATTTCAAAACATTCAACCAAAACTCCAATACGAAAATATAAATAAATGTTATTCGTTAAATATAATAAAATGTTATATTTATTTAAAATAAATTCAAATAATAAGTTCTAACAATTTTTATATTTTACTCAAAATATAATACCCAAAGTTCGGTCATGAAGTTGATGTAAGCTTTGGATCCCCACTCCATATCTATTGAAGGTATCTTAAAATAGATATAAATGAAAATATTTAGTTAAGAGATCGGAGTCAAAGCTTTTATGTTTGAAATGAAAGCGAAACCAAAGATTTTATATTATTTTAAAAAGAATTGACTTTTTCTAAAGAAAACATAAATACTGTACTGAACTAGCTGAGCTTGCTTTATTTGTGATGTCTGGTCACTGTCTGGGTCTATGTCTAGTCAATGTCCAACCCTTTTTATCTGAGATTTAAGTTTTTAAAAAATTAAAACCTTTTAAACTATTTTTTTATAAATGTTTATAATTTATAATAAAATGCTCAAAATTATAATTAATTATTCACACCTAATAATTAACTTTAATATGAGGTATGTTTTAATACTTTATTGATATTTAGCTGACATTTGCAAAAGCAAATATTTGTTTAAGTATTTAATTGGTTTTAAATTACTCGCGAGTTTAGTCTTACATAAAATGTGTTAATTTTATTGATATTTAAAAACTTTTTGGTTTTTTGGTAGAGTATAACTCATTTAGAAAGTTTTGTATATTTACAGAAAAATATTTGAAAATCTATACGAGATAACTTATATTTCAATAAATAAAACTTTATCGTTGAATTAAATAACTTAATATCATACTTTAATAAATTAAACTCAAACTATTTTATATTTCTATTTAACGTAATATAAAATTTACTAATTTAACAAATAGTATTATTTGCGATTAAAACTTATGACACTTTAGAGACTTAGTTCACCTGAATATTAATTTAAGTATTTTAATACTTAGCTATTATTTAATTATATCTAATTATCGCATTCTAAATTTTAGATAAACTTGCATATATTTTATATTCACTAGATTAAACTTATTGAACAACAAAAATATAATTAAAATTTTTTATTTCTATAAAAGTAGTAATTTCCCTGATTGTAAGCTATTGGGTATTGTATGTTAAGCTTACATTTATTACCGATACTTATGGTAAGCAATAAAAGTGTTTAAAACACTTTAAGACTTTTAGATTTGAGATAAGATGAACAGGAAAATAATTTGCGCGAAGAAGTCCCGCTATTTTCGCTGATTATGGCAAACAAACATTTATTGAGCAAATGTTTGATCAGAAACCCTGCGAACTAAATTAAATTAGATTTTGTGTTCAACTGAATGTTCAAATTTCTATTCAAAACAATTTATTACTTTTCACTCAAAAGTGATTCACAAAACGGTGAAGAGAGACGTGAAGAGTGAGTACTCTTTTCACTGAAACACCCATTGCTTTTGGAAACTAACTTTTCAGGTAATAATAGCCTTATTTGAAGCTTAAATCCCATACCGTTTGAAAAGGCCGAAAGAAAATTAGAGAAAAGTTCAATAGAAAAGAGCGTTTTGAATGAATTATTTAAGGTTTCCTTCAAGTCCCACACATTTATGGTAATAAAAACAACACAACTTTTAGCACTGGAAGACAAGTTTGGTTTTGCTTTTAGTAGTTCTCTAGTGTTGTTCAGTTGAATGTGTTTTCTTTGAGAGTCTATTGAATGGGAAGAGAAACTACAGACAAATGTGACCAAAACATACACACGAAAAATGCTTCTCATTTCACATTCACTGCTATTGTTTTGGATATTTTTATATAATTTTATTAATTGTCAGCCGGACACTAGATTTAAGCTCAAAAGCGGTGAGTTTTTATCATTAAATTGATTATTTAAATCACTTTTAATTAGCAGATGGTTTCAGGCTTTTTCAGATGACTTACATTTAAGTATAGGAAAAAGTTTCTTACATTAACTGTACTAACTGTGCAGTACTTATATAGTCATGCTTTAAAACATGGATTCAAGATTTTAGGTTTAAAATCAGCAATGTTTTTTAATAAGTTTTATTTATAATTTTAGATATTTGCGTAACTTAAAAACATTTAGTTACTAAATACTAAATTTTAGTAGGATATGATTATTTGTTTGACAATTTGACACTAATTATGAAAATAAATATAATTTGTAATTAAATATTTTAGTTTTCAAAAATCTTTTCTAACTTGTATTCTCAGAATTTCTAATATTAACTGTTAGTCTAAAACAAAAAAGTTTATATTGAGTTGAGCTACAAATGTTTTCTACATAAAGAGTAAAAGACTGAAGTAATTCAAGTCTAAATTCTTAAACAAACATTTACTCGATTTGTTTGCTAAACAAATAAACACTTATTTTTGTTTAATTTAGAAATTCTTGTTTTCAAATTCGATATCAAATCTTATTTTTTATGTAAAATCATATTCTTGGATAATTTTGCTTAAATAATACTTACATATTTATTGACAAGCTATAAAATATAGTTTAAAATGTGATATAAGGTATACCTAATAGGTATATATTTACTCCTAATGTTAAAATCAGGTTAATCTGCAGGTAATATACGAGACCTGTTTTGTGACAAATTCCTCCCACACATCAGTTTCAATATATTACTGTATTCTTGTATAATACAAATTGACACCAAAATTGTTATCTAATTTTAAAAGATTAACTCCAAATATGATTATTACATACTACTACTGATTTGTGACTCCTGTCCACATAAGCATGGGTTCAGTGGGCACAATAGTACAGCACATAATTGGAAGTTTGCTTAGTATTGTAATTGTTAGCCAAGGGGCTTATACAGGAGAGCACAATTAGGCCCACATTTGTAGTAAAATTTTTGCAAATTTTTATTGAAGAATAAATGGTTTTGTTTGTAATACAGAGAGCGCGGAATCATTGAAGAGTTTGTTCCCAAATGTGTTCAACTTAGCGTCTGGAGCTATAATAACAGTGAACGCCACTTGTGGTGAAACTGGTCCTGAAGTTTACTGTAAATTAGTTGAACATGTGTTTGAACGGTAACTATAAATATCATTGCGAACTGATTATAACCAAAACACTTATGGACTGTTGAAAGTTCTCTATCACCGAGTATTTGACAAATTAATTGTATTTACATATTGTTTGCAAACAGCGGTTCAGACGCATCCACCGCCCAATGCAATGTGTGCGATGTGGCCGGCGCTGACCTCTCCAAACGACACCCCATTGCCAATGCCATCGATGGCACCGATTCGTTAGTTTCTCCTTGTTTTTTCCCTAAGACTTTATTGGAGTTCATAAGTATTGTGTTGTATCTGTCAGGTGGTGGCAGAGCCCGACCCTACAAAACGGGCGAAAGTTTGAATGGGTCACCATTACCTTGAATCTCAAACAAGTCTATCAAATCTCATATGTGGTCATCAAGTCGGCCATCAGTCCATTGCCAGGCAATTGGATTCTGGAGCGATCTGTTGATGGACAGACATATTATCCGTGGCAGTACTTTGCACTTTCAGACACAGAGTGTTGGGATACATATCGGGTCAGACCTACTATAGGTAAAGTTAGGTACAGATCTGACGATGAAGTTATCTGTACTTCATTTTACTCCAAGAATGATATCATCGAGAATGCAGAAGTATTTCAATTTCTAGACTATTATGATCTCATATATTAAGTCAACTTAATTACCGTTAGATTCACACCTCGCTCATTAATGGAAGACCCGGTGCTGATGGACCCAGTGATGCACTCAGAGTATGAATTATAACTGATATCTCTAAGTAAAAAATGAAGTTAACTAATGATATTATTTGTAATAAAGGAGTTCACAAAAGCACAGTTTATCCGTTTCCGTCTGCAAAAGATTAGAACTCTTCATTCGGAACTTATCGGAGATCCAGACAAAGTCGACAAATCCATTACCCGAAGAGTAAGATTTTTTAATGTGATTTTTTAGTAAACTATATTTTTATGTGTATTTCTTTAGTTTTTCTACTCTGTAAAAGACATATCAATAGGTGGTCAGTGTCTATGTAACGGACACGCGAGAGATTGTAAGGCACTGTTAGGCTCTCCTCTACCGCAATGTCAGTGCGAACACAACACTGGAGGTCTGGCCATAAAATCCAAATATTTATAAATAAATTCTTGTAATTACTTAAAATAGGAATTAATTGTGAGAAATGTCGGCCTCTATTCAATCAAAAGTCATGGAAACCAGCTTCGAGTGGATCGGGATTTTTTTGTGAAGGTTCGTCACATTGAAAATTTTTGGTTGAGTTGTCTTTTAATTATAAACTATTTTAATGTACAGAATGTCAATGTTTTGGTCATTCAGATGAGTGCTATTATGACCAAAGCATTGATGACAAAAAGTTAAGTCTTTCCAAGTCTGGTGTCTATGAAGGCGGAGGTGTTTGCAGTAAATGTAAGCCAAATAAATGATACAATAGTATGCATTGTATAACTTATTAAAAACTAAATGCTTTGTGAAAGGCCGACATCACACCATTGGCATCAACTGCGAACAGTGCGAAGATGGCTATTATAGACCAGAAGGCGTACTACTGGACAGTGAAAACCCGTGTTCCCGGTGCCTGTGTAGTGGACCGGGTGTCTCACAGTTTTGTGTCAAAGATGTATTTCATTTGATTGAAGGCAGACGTCCGGGAGATTGTCTCTGCAAACCGGGATTTGAAGGCCATCGATGCGAGCGCTGCGCCCCTGGATATAAGGACTTTCCCCGATGTGACGAATGCACGTGTATTCACGCGGGTATTGTAAACACGGAGACCTGTGACGGTCAGTGTCTATGTAGAGCTAATGTGATCGGCACTCGTTGTAACAAATGTAAGAGCGGTCACTATAACCTCGACAGTGACAACCCGGACGGCTGTGCCCTCTGTTACTGTTTCGGAGCCACCACTAAATGTGCGTCAAGTGATTGGGGCCTCGAAATTGTCAGTAATCTCGACGACTGGATGATCAGTGATTTGTCCGGAAGAGTTAAAGTGACTCCGAGTCTAGAAAACGGTCACTTAGTTATAGCCAACGATGAGGTGCCCGCCTCTGCTCAGAGAGTCTACTACTGGGAAGCACCTAAAGATTATTTGGGATTAAATCTGTACTCATATGGCAATGATCTGAAGTTTTTGATCAGTTATGTGGTATCGAGAGGAGATGTGTCCGGATATTTCACAGATGACGCCGACATTATCCTAGAGGGCGGTCCCGATAATATAAGGGTTGGCTATAAATGGCACAAACCATCAGAAGTGGACGAAGTGAACACTACTATAATAATGCCGTTAAGGGAACAGAACTGGTTTAGAGTGGGAAACGACGGCAAGAAGAGTGACGATAAGGTGTCTCGAGAAGAGTTCACACTTTTGTTGTACGATCTCAAGAGACTTCTGATTCGCGCCAAATTCCATACGGACCAGATTGAGGGTGGATTGTACCAGGTTGATATGGAAAAGGCGTCCAATATTTCTAAGAGCATTAAGAAAGCTGAGGGCACCGAGAAATGTGACTGTCCCCCAGGTATGCCATATAAATTGTTACTTGATGTATTATTTCATATGAATATCTTAAGGCTATACCGGACTCTCGTGTCAATTCTGTGCGCCTGGATATAGAAGAGTGAACAATATTCTAGTGAATGGTATTTGTGAGAAGTGTAACTGCAATAACCATGCTGAGTCCTGTGACCCCTTCACTGGCCAGTGTTCTGAATGTAAATGTGTTATTTAAATTTTCTCAAGTATGGTATTAATTGTTAGTATTATTAAATGAGGTCTCCATAACACGACTGGTCCTAATTGTGGTGAATGCAAGCCTGGCTTCTATGGGAACGCTAGACTTGGATTTGAAGATGACTGCAAACCCTGTGCCTGTCCTCTACCCATACCTTCCAACAATTTTTCACCCACTTGTCGGTTGGAACCGAACAGCAAATACGGGTACATATGTCTCGAGTGTCCCGAAGGATATACCGGTGAACGATGCGAACGCTGTGCGGATGGATATTATGGAAATCCATTAATTCCCGGAGGAATTTGTTTGCCCTGTGATTGTGGACCCAATACTAATACCTCAATCCCTGACTTTTGTGATCACTTGACCGGACAGTGCAAGTAATGCCAACTAAAAAACAAAATACCCTGATTAAAATATTTTATTAATTCACTGAATTGTTTGTGAAAACAGATGTATCGGAAATACTGGGGGCTGGAAGTGTGATGAATGTCTACCTCAACACTGGGGAAATGCAGCTCTTAAGGACTGTAAGGCCTGTAATTGTAATCCTGAGGGTTCAGAAAGTTTGGACTGCAATCCGGTGACGGGTCAGTGTCAGTGCAAACCAAACTGGACTGGTCTTCGTTGTGACCGATGTGCTCCCGGTTATGGAAATCTCGAACAGAAATGTTTGGCCTGTGATTGCGATTTGATTGGATCGACGTCTCCTAACTGTGATGAGACAACTGGTCAGTGTCCGTGCAGGTCAGTGCTAACGAGTCAACTAACTTATCTATTGTTTCATATTGTAACATACATTTGTTTTAATATTTAGACCCGGAGTGTTTGGCCAACACTGTAAAGAATGTATGGACGGATACTTTGGATTTTCTGAGAAAGGCTGTCAGCCCTGTAAATGCGATCAAAACGGCTCAGAAGGACCTGAATGTAATCCATTAACAGGTTTGTAATGTTTTATTATAATATACAAATTATTTATTTTCAACCCTAATTTGATTTTAAATAATATAATTATTAGGTCAATGCAAATGCAAACCTTTTGTAATCGGTAGAGATTGTAGTCATTGTGAGCAGGGATATTGGAATATAGCATCTGGTAATGGCTGTGAGCCATGCAATTGTGAGTCATAAATTGAAGTAAAGATTTAGTATATTTAATTGATAAACATTTCAAATTTAAGGTAACTTCACGGGTTCGGTATCACAAGTTTGCGATGAAGTATATGGTCAGTGCGACTGCAAACCAGGTGTTGGGGGCAAACACTGTGATCGCTGTCTTCCCGGGTACTACGGATTCTCTTCATATGGTTGTAGTCAATGTGATCCCTGTACAGCACCGGGACATATATGCGATCCTAAAACAGGAAAATGTGTCTGTCCACCAAACACAGCCGGTCCCACGTGTCAAGACTGTGCTCCGGGCACCTGGGGTTTTGATGTATTAACAGGTTGTTCTCCGTGTGATTGTAATCTTCAGGGAAGTCTCAACAATGAGTGCGACCACAAAACGGGTGATTGTGTCTGTTTGGAAGGATTTGAAGGTATGTTAACTCTGGAAGTAATTCATTGGTTCACTGATAGTGATATAACCGCTGATTACAGGTCGTCATTGCGATAAATGTCAGTTTGGTTACTATCGGTTTCCTAACTGTCGGCGCTGTGATTGTCACGAACCGGGAACAGAGCCGGACCAGTGTCGCGATGATGGCAGATGTCAGTGCGATGAGACGGGTCAGTGTCCGTGTCGGGCCAATGTTGAGGGTAGGCGTTGTGATCGCTGTAAAGAGGGATCATTCGCATTATCTGCTGACAATCCTTTGGGTTGTTTTGAGTGCTTCTGCTTTGGAAAGGCCTCCAAATGCGAGCAGTCGTCGATGGTTTGGACACAGATATTAATACCACAAAGAGAAGTGGCGTTTGAGATCGGAAACACTGATATCAAAACTTTCCGTACATTCAAATTGATACCCGAAACGGGAGAAACAATTGGCGTCCGATATATAGTGGATCAGCCATTCTATTGGGCGCTTCCCAAAGAAGCGCTCAACGATCAGGTGTTGAGTTATAACGGATTCATTCGGTTCCGACTTTACCACCGAAGTGGAAGTCGTTTCCCGGAAAAAATGCTTCAGAGGTTCCCATTGGTTATGCTTCAAGGCAATCATCGACTGGTTCTCTCGCATTCTGGACCAGAATATGATAACAACCCATCGGTGACAGGTCTCCATCAGATAAGACTCCACGAGTCTCAGTGGGTTCAGTTGGACAACCCGCAGATGCCGGTGACACGTGCTATGCTTATGGTTGCGCTTCAAAAAGTTCAGTACATTTTGATCCGAGCGACTGATGGCGCGGACGTCAAACTCGTCAGAATCACTGACCTATCGGTCGATACGGCCAGAGGTGTGGCGCCGGCAACTAATACAGCCATTGGTGTGGAGCAGTGTAAGTGTCCGCCGCAATACACTGAGGCCTCGTGTCAGGACCCGAATATCGGTTACTATCGAAAGAGAAAACCTAATTATTTGGATTCAAAGGACATCCTTGATTTGGTGGGTTGGGCTGAGCCCTGTCCCTGTAATAACATGAGTCGCACGTGCGATAAGGAAACTGGCATTTGTACCAATTGTGCTGGTTTTACAACCGGTCCCTATTGTAATCTCTGTATTAAAGGCTATTATGGAGACCCGACGCGAGGAATACCTTGCCGTCCGTGTGCCTGTCCTACTGTCGCCAATTCATTCAGTGACACGTGTGAGCTCAGGGGTACTAACGATTGGATCTGTACTAACTGTACGGAAGGATATACAGGAGTTCACTGTGAAATCTGTGCGGATGGCTATTGGGGTAATCCTATGAGTCCTCGAGGTGTTTGTCTGCCCTGTAATTGCAGGTAAGTGTTGAATATTATATTTAAAATAATTAAAAATTATCATTAATTCATTTTACTGTCATTCTTAGTCCATTTGGATCAATTCATAATATCTGTGACAAAGTGACTGGTCAGTGCCGGTGCAAGGAGGGTATGTGTTCACATTTTATTTTAAAATTATTTATTCAAAAATTTATGATCAAATTTGAAAATGGATTTAAATAATTAGGAATATCTGGATTAAAGTGCGACAACTGTCCGCCCAGGCATATAATCACAGACGAGGGATGTCTGAATTGCGACGACGAGTGCACGGGACTACTTCTGGATGACGTCGAGTTCCTACAGGTTCTGGTAGAGGAGGCAAACCTAACAGATGTGGGAAACCTTCCGTGGACTCGATTATTGCATTTGACCAATAAATTCACCACGTTGATTACGCGATTGAATAAATACCAATACCTGGTATCACAGGGCCATCAACTCGTTGGCAATTATACGGTGGGCTTTGATCTCGAAACATGGGCTGACATATTATACCTGAAGTCACGTGAGCTGAGTAATAGAGGACCCCTTTTGGCTAAAGAAGCGGAGAATGTGAAGAATGACGCGCAGACTGTCCTCGATTTGCTCAACGATTTGTGGGAAAAGATCATTGAAGTGGTGAACCAATTGCGTAGACATGGAGTTGACTCTCACGACCCCATTGGACACATATCTGACCGCATGCTTCAGGAAGCGGAGCGCATATTACGAGAACTACAGGCCAGGGATTTTAGACCTCGTATTGAAGAATCAGACAGAGAGTTAAGAAAAGCTAAGAACCTATTGGATAGAGTCCGAGCACTTTTAACAGATCGCAAACATACCGGTCCTCTTAAAGAACGATTGGATCGTTTGGCTGAACTTCTCAGAGATATTCTATCGATAGTCCAAAACAAGATTCAACCGCCGATTCAGACGACCACCAAATTAGTTCAGGAGTCGCGACCCATTAAGGCATTCATTCACGACGCCATTGCCAACAGTTCAAAGCACGCGGATGTGGCCAACGCTACCCTCACTGAAGCCCACATCCTGTTAGAGGCGGCCAAGAATGCACTGATTGAAGCGGCCGTCACTTATGATATTCTGCCGCGACTTCTGGTCGAAGTGGACAACGGGACACAACTCGTGGAGGAGAGGCGAAGCATTTTGGCCCGACTTAATCCCGAATATACCGAAAAATATGTGATTCCCTGTCAAAGACATGCCGAAGAACTTATACGACAAGTAAACTTCTTGAACGGACTCTTCAATTCGACTCGAGATGTGGCCGAATATCCGCTAAAGGCTGCGAAAGTCTATCAGAAGATTATCGATGCGTTGGCGGCAGCAGAGGACGCGGCAAAGAAGGCCAATGCGGCCGCAGAGAGGGCTTACAAAGAGGCCTATCCCGGAACAGATGACGCGCTTACTCTTAGAGCCAGAAAAGCCAAACAAAGGAGTGATGAACTGCTGGCGCAGGCGAAGGATATTCGAGACAATAGGGTTCCGGAACTGGAGAGAGAACTGGCGAAGAAACGGATGCGATTGGATGTGATCAACGATGACTTAGTGAATGGCAAACGAAACCTCGACCTCATTAACAGAGCTTTGGATGGATTACCGAAAGATCTTTCAGGTATTCTTCGCGGAGTTGAGTCTAAACTGCGAAACATTTTGGACGGACTCGAAGACATGCACCGACGCATCGATGACATCGACAGACGAATTGCCTCAGATTTGATGCCAAAACTCAATCGTCTGAAAGCGGGAACGACATCCGGTTTGGATAACTTAACCAAAATCATAGAACAGGCGAGAAGTGACTTAAGGGACTCCTCACGACTGGCCGATAGGGCGCAAGAGATCGCCGATAGAGTGAATCGACTGCACAATCAAATGGAGCTCAATATGAAGGAACTGAAGGACCGGATCCTATTGGCCCGACAGAAGGCCGCCAGCATTCGTGTCTCACTCGGCGCCGATAGGAGTGGTGTCTGCGCCCGATCTTATGAGCCACAGATAGAGCCCTCCGTTTCCAATAACATTATCCTCAACTATGCCATCAAAGACGAGGCGCGCGATTGCCTTCTGTTCTTCATTGGAAGCAAAAGAACCGATGACTTCATGGCTATAGAAATGGTTGACCGAAAGATACGGTTCATTTGGAACGCCGGCGGCGGCACTAAGATGTTGGCCCACAGTCTCAACATTGAGACCAACGATCAGCAGTTGCTGAAAGACAGTCAATGGTATAAAATAGAAGTGAATCGCATCCGAAATGTGGCCACACTTACAGTCAAGAGAATACCCGATGGACTGAAAGCGGATCCGTTCGAGATATCCGACTCATCACCCGAAGGATTCAATCGAATGGATTTGAATCGCGACTCATATTTCTTCATCGGAGAAGTGCCGCCAGACTTCAGAACTCCTCGAGAGCTGAGATCGCGTTCGTACGCCGGATGTCTTTATGAACTATTTTTAGATGGAAAACCTGTCGGACTCTGGAATTTCACTACAAATAAGGGCTGTGAGGGCTGTAAGGAAGGCGCGACGGAACCTAAAGATTTAAGTACTTTCTTATTCAAAGGAGAAGACTCTTATGTAATACTCAATCAAATTAAACGCTACGATAAGAAGAAGTATTTGGTGTCACTTCAGTTCAAGACCTTCGATGAGGAGGCGTTGCTCTTCTTCACAGCAAACCCAACGACCGGTGATTTTATAGCAATATATCTAAAGGATGGAAGAGTGGTCTATCAGTTCAATGTCGGTAATTCACCCCGACTTTCGTTGACCAGTAAAATGAAGTACAATACGGGACAGTGGGTTAAGTTAGACGCTGAACGCGAAAAACTAGAGGGAGTTCTCTCTGTTCAGGAGGAATATCTTGAAGGAAGGTTACCATCAGGAAGTCAAACAAATCTTGAACTCTCTGATAGTGAGCTATACTTCGGAGGCGTTACGCCTAACTTCACATCTTATCACTGGCCGACTGTTGTGTTTAAGCCCTTCCTCGGCTGTATGAAAGACCCGCAAATAGATACCACTCCTCTAAATCTGATGCAAATGCAGGCGTTTGGAGTGGAAACGGGTTGCAGAGAAAAGACTATTAAAGTGGTTAACTTTAAAGGATCTGGATATTTGCAACTTAATGGAGAGCCCCTTAAAGAGGACGCAGATTTCAGTTTTACTTTTAAAACAACACAAAACGAAGCACTTTTGCTATTATCTACATTTGAAGGCACAAAAGGACCCCGGGGTCGCGATTCGGTTAGTGTTTTGCACAGTAATCTGTTTAACAAAATATTTAAATGATATTCTGTGAATACTTATCTTAATTTCTTATGAAGAATTTATATATATTTTAAATCAAATATTTTATTTGTCGACAGCACTACTACTCCCTATCGATCGTAAATGGCGTACTGGAGGCCAGATTTAATGGCGGGGTAGGGGAGACCATATTGAATGATCAGTTAATGACTGTAAATGACGGGCAATACCATACAGTTTCCGTTCAGAAAAAACTTAGAAAGTGAGATATCTTTCAAACCAACGATTGAATTATATTTTCAAATAATTAATGTGTTTCTCAAATCTTTCGACAGAATAAGTCTAGCCCTCGACGACAAAGAGGTCGGAACCACTCGTCTGGCCCGCGGCACTAAAGACATCGATGCACCCACTGCTGGAGGCCTTTATTTGGGAGGTTTACGTAAGTCATGTTTTCAAATGAATTAAATTCATATCTTTTTATAAAGTAATAAAATAAATAAATCTTATTTTACTCATGACTTGTAGCCGACGGAATGTCGTTGAAGGGAATGGCGGGCACTAAAGAGCCGCTAAAGGGTGTCATAAGAGACGCCGTATTCAATGGAAGACTATTAAAACTGAATGAGCCAGTTGCTTTTGAAGGGGTAGGCATTGGACGAGAGAGTGATGGCTTGAATAGGTTGGTCGAGAACCCGGTTTAATATAATATATCGGAATGATTTACAGCCAAATGGCCTGTTATTCGCATGAAGACAACTTTGAACTTCTATTTCTTCCAAATTCTTCTATGTTTTGAAATATTTTGAATGCATTTATGTTTGCAAACACTTAATGAATGAATATTCTGTATACTTCCCAAAATTTTCTTTTACTTTGTTTTTGCATTGATTCTCAAACTGTTTGATCTATTTTTATATTCTTTTATGTTTTGCTACCTTATTATTATTTCTATTTTTAAATTCAAATGTTTACATCTTTTTCTCAATAAAAGTGAACTCAAATATTGCATAAAATATATGTTTTCTATGAATGTTTTTTCTCATTTTTATGCTTTGAATGTTTTTTTCCAAAAGTTATTCGCCTGAATATATACCGTTCACAGCACTTTAACGTTTGAAAACCTTTGATTTTAGTTTTATAAATGGTTTTCCTGATGATTTCCCCGATCCAATGGAACGGATGATGCCCTCCCAACCCTATGATACCTGTGCAGAGATGCCTGAGTACTCATCGGAAAGGCGAGCCGTGGAGATCGGCGATGCCTTGCATTCGCACATTAGCCTCAATCGAGACGCTATGGAGTTCTCGCAAGACTTTAATCTAATGTTTGAGTTCAGAACCTATTATCCGAATGGTCTGATAGTCTTGATTAGAGGCCACAACAATAAGATTAGATTTCAATTGACATTAGCGCTGAGGGGCGGGTATGTCATCGCTGAGCTTTCCGAGAAAAAGCGAACGGAACTCATTAGTAGTAATAGAGAGCCGCTTAATGACGGCCACTGGCATAACGTAACGCTCGCCAAAGTTGGCAAAAGTTTTTCATTAAAAGTAGATAATAATCAGTTAGTCGAGTCGACGAAAGTGAGGAAAAAGATACCCCTTAAAAGTCCCATTTATATTGGAGGCGTTCCCGAAGGTCTCAATGAAGTCAATAATAACGAGTTAAACATAATGAGAGAAAGTTTCAAAGGATGTCTCAAGAATTTCCACATTAATCACAATTATGTCGATTTGGCCTCAGGTTTGATGCATAACGTGAGCGAGTGTTTCACTCGTATCGAAAAGGGTGCCTATTTTGCGGGCGACGGATACGCTATATTTGGTATTTCATTTGATTTTTGCTTGCTTATTTTTGCTTACTTTACACAATCGATCAAATTAAATGAATTGAAGAATTGATACCATTTTCTGTTCCTCTCTTTGTGTCTAATATCAGATGAAAAGTTTAATTTGGGTTTTAAGGCAGACATTGAACTAGAATTTAAAACAACGCGTTTGAATGGAATCCTATTGAGTGTAAGCAATGGCAGTACCAGTGATGGAGTGCCGGCCCTTTCAATAGAGCTCTTCGACGGAGATATCATCGCATCAGTCGATGTAAGCGACGGTCCCATCAGAGCTGCGAAGAAGTTTGATTCAAAGTACGATATGTGTGACGGAAAATGGCATTTGATTAAAGTGTTGTACACCAAGAACTCCATCTCACTTAAAGTGGACAGACATGAAGTCGCTTACGGTCTCAATGAGAAGGAACAGAAAAAGTCTGAGCCCTTCACGTCAGCGCCTCTCTATATCGGAGGACTGCCCGGTATTTGTCGTATAAATGGGATATAGTTTTAAGTATTTTTTTCATTCATTTAATTATTTTCACAGATTTTGCGAGGAATAGTGTTTTACAACAAACGGATCCGTTTAGGGGTTGTCTGCGAAATGTTGCCATTAATGACAAGCGAAAGGATTGGATCTCTGATATGAAACTTTTTCATGTTTTACCCAATTCTTGTCCAACAAATTAATTAAAGCTAATGCAAGACTACCTCAAATATATTTATATCATTTTATAGAGAATTTTTACACCTATTATAGATTTCTTTTAGAAATAATTATATTAAAGTGAACTTAAATTTCTAATCAAAGTTATTTCATTTAATGAAAAATAAAAACTTTTGCCAAATTAAAAATAGTAATAAAATTGTTTACTACTAAAATTGGTAGTATAAAGTCTGCAATAATAATCATAAAGTGTTTGTTGTTCAGAATATTCATCAAGAACTACATTTACTGCATTTTGTTGTTGTTGTTATTAACTTATATTATTATTAGAAAATATTTTTGATTCATATTTTAATAGAAACCCCAAAATTAATTAAATTCTTTAATAACTTTAAATGTGTTTCTATGATATTATAGTGAAAAATATAATCAAATATTAAATCGATTTTTGTTTTGAGAAAAGAATAAACTGTTTTAATACTTTTGTTAACTTTTTTTCATATTGATATACAAAGAGAAAGTTTTTTGTTTCAAAAAATTATATATAATTTGATTAAAAGATTTGTTTTCGAATGAGAAGATCTGTTATAATTAGAAATTAGATGTCATTAATTTAATTATAATTAAATAAATTATTTCAGATTTTAAATATACATTAATAATAATGATTTATATAAGTAAATAAATAACAACAAAAAAATAATAAGCCTTGGATGAGAAATCTAAAAACAATGAATGTCCGGAGATTTAAATTTTTGTAAAAATTATTCAATAGATTTGATGCATAAAAACGAGTTGAGAAACAAATATGTGTTTAAAAAAGAGTTTTACAGAAACAATGCGACGAAAATGATTATAAAGACTTCACTTTTATCTCGAGAACACGGTTTTCAAATGATATCTTGATAAGATTTTTGTGATTTTTCTTTTTTATATAAAAAACTAAATAAAAGAATAAAAGGAAGAAATAAAAAGAGCTGAAAACAATGGTTTGGAATGACTTGAGTGGTGATTGTTATTGCAGTTATTGCAGAAGCGGTTCCAACACATCCCAATGTGAGGCCAACAAACAAGCACATATTTCACAAAAACATACTCGCAATTGTGTCTCTCATTCCTCTATCCATTGAGTGTTTTTGTTTTGTCTGTTGCCATCAGTTCTCACACTTCTGTTTTGTTGATTCATTTCAAGACTAGTACTGTATTTATCATTTGCGTGGATCTGATCCCTCCGATCCACTAATGCCATGATATTACACTTTTGCTGTCTTTCCCACTTTGCTGTCTGTCTTTATTTGAACGACACTTTTTTTGTTATACATAAATCACAGTTTGCAGCGATTAAGCCTCTGATTCCTGTTTGTCTCTTACAGTGCAATATTCACAGGAAAACAGGTATTATTATTGTTATTAGAAAAACAAAAGTTTATTAAGTTTTATGTCTAATAGTCTTTTTCTTTGCTTTTTATGTCGCGAATTGTCCCTCACTTTTGGGCTTCAAATGAAGAAATAACATACACTTTAGCGTTAAGTCAAGCCTTAATTGTAATGCAATTCAATTCCCAATTTGTTTTTGGATGTGATGTTAGGCGCGAGTGTCAAACGACAAGAAGTTCCGCACATTTAATATACAGTATATTTGTATTTGTATTTTATTTCAAACACAATTATAATAATAAAATTATTTTCAGTTATATATTCTGCAGTTGCCGTCAGCCTATGATCGCGAATACCAAATGGTTGTGTAACAACATATTAACAGCACAAGAATTTGTGTCGACAGTAATGTCTGTCCTCTATTCATATTTACTGTAAGAGAAAGAAAATACAAATATATTAATCAATATCAATATCGTGTCGATACGTGCAAAAGACAAATGAGAAAAGCATTTAAAGATAATTTCGTTACGAGTCTTAATCTCACAGAAAAAGTTCATTTCAGATAAGAATTTGAAAAATTTAATAATAAAGCAATTAATTTGAAAATTCATTTCATTTGATCAGACATTGTATACAAGATTTGGAGTCAAACAGAACTATATATCATAACAAATGGACAGTAATAATGGGCGATGCTTCGGCACCGGCAGTAATACCAGCTTTGTTTTCTGCAATATGTAGTCCAGAGCTCTGTTGACTGCTTCCGATGATCGTCTCTCGACTCGATGTGTCGATCACTTTCTCCAGAGTTGCCGTACATTTGAGTTTAATTTGTTGATTATCTTTGCCCGAAGAGTGTGTTCTTCGTTTGGTAGTGGAAGAGCCGCCAAAATGTGTTGGATTTACTCTCAACTGCAGACCCAAAACCGACACTTCATTTCCGTCTTGGAATTGCACTTTTGGATAGTATCGGAGGTATTCAGCTCTGGCCTAACGATCGCATACAACATGGAAAGACATTAAAGTATACTTCATATACCGTACGATATAATAATAGAATTAAATATAAGTTAGATTTGCATAAAGGAATGCAAAACAAACATTAAAACACTTATACATAATAATGACAGTAATATAGAGAATAATAAATGTTAGCCAATGTAGTGATTACCTCTTTGTCATTAATGTAGAACTTAAGCTGTGGCGCCGGGTAGGACTTGGATGACGTACAGGTTAGATTAATGAGATCTCCGACATTATAGGTGGGACGCCCACCACTAATGATAGGGCCCTCACTCTCGTGAACTGTAACCAAAAGCAAGAATTAATTTTTGAATGAAAAAAATGAGTACAGAATATATAGTGTAAGTGATATGTGAGGGGATTAATGGGAGGCAAGAAATATATTAGTCATGTATTGTATTGTGTTTTTAGGTATTAATACCTGAGTGAGTATGCGATGCCTTCGCGTGATCTGATACTATAATTTCTTCGCTGCTCATGGAGTATGCCTGTGATATGACACTTGTGCACCGGAGCTTAATGATGCCACCAATGAATTGATGCCTCTCTGCGTTGAACTGCAGTTGAAGCGAGCATTTCTGCAAACCGTCCATTCGTTTCGGGGTTTGGATGTATCGCAGACAGGATTCATCTGCCGGCTCGCCGTTGATTAGCCACGAAAGTGTTGACTGAGGCTTAAGTCGGCGATATATAGATATGAGTTACGTTATGAATGTATTGGAAAAATATATAATTTTTAATTTAAATTCTCATTTTCGTCTCTGATTTATGACTGAATTTATTTCTTTTTCTTGTAAGACATAAATTAAATGCATTTTCATGTTATGAATTACTTCTATGAATGCAATACAATAGTTATGTAATTATAGAAAGTGTTTCGTGAGTTATACTAATTCTTATTCTCTAATATAATGACTATTAGATTAATTTTCAAACTATAATTAATTGTGAGTTTTTTCTCACATTGGAGGAGACAATAACAGTGAACACATATTGTGGTGTATGTGATATGATAGGCTACATAAAAGTAATAGTCGAGTGCAATGATTACCTTTGATGGTCCGGCGCTACACGTGACGTTCACTAATTATACGAAAAAATCCAATTAATAGAGTTGGCAATCCATACAAATGAATGTGAATTTTTATATCTGTTATGTAATACATACCTAAATCTCCGATACCGTACTGTTGCGCTCTAATCCCTGTTATAACCGGACCCTCTTTGGGCAAACCTATAGAATATTAGTTTTTTGTTTTAAAAAATAAGCAAATCTGACATAAATGTCACAAAAGGGTGGTTTCACTTCAGCCTTAATTTCCTGTCAATTTATTTATGCATTCGTTGTTCACATTTCACACGACATTACTTTAAATAACAATTATTATTAAAATTACAAGTATTTAAGAGATGCTTAAGAGAGCGGAAGCCAAAGTCGACCGCAAAAGGAGAATATAAATGACAAGTCATTCACAGCACCCCTTACTCTACGAAATGTGTGCTCTAATTGTGCCCACAATTCGTGCTTTTGATGGCCAGAGGTTTGCTCGACAGACAAGAAATACTTTTTTATAGCAGGGTTTTTGTTATATAAGAGTAAAACATGAAACAATATGTGAAGTGAAAACATTTTCATAAAAAAAACTTTCATCACATTTATGTCCTCCTAATCCCAATCGAGTTCCGTCTGATTTGACTCAAAATTTTTATGCATCATTTGCTCCGTTAGACACCAGAGCACCGGCACTGTTAGAGAGATACTCAGCGCGTGCTGTACTGTATATCTAGGAATACGTCAATACTGTAGATATACTCCAAACTTATATAAGTTATATAAATGGTTATCCCTTTTGTATAATTGAAAATATTCTCCCTTTCCATCAGCTCTTTCTCTCTATACTAATCGTCATTCCGGTTGAGTGGTCTCCACAGCATCGGTGCGGTCTATGTGTTCATCAGATATACTACCAAATAGAGTGTATGAAGTGGCAGAGAGAGAGAGAGAGAGAGAGAGACTGAAATGAAAGTTGAGAAGAGGATATGAGGACTGCAATTGTGAATTAAAAAAAATGCATTTAAAAAATACAATTAAAACCAGAAAAATAGCAAAAGATATGGAGAGAGAGAGAGAGAGAGAGACTGAAATGAAAGTTGAGAAGAGGATACTAGAGGATAATGTGTGCAGTTTTGACGGGCGATAGAGTGGAGCCCTAAAAATCATTTGGTAATGAACTTCAAGCGAACGCATTGACAAAAATGAGGGGAAGAGTGAAGAGTTTGAACACAATTTTTGCATTTATTATTGTATTATTGTTTCGATTAGAGTCTACTGTTTTCACTTCATTACTATACATAATGGTATAGAAATGCGAGTTTGAAGTGTGTCTAAAAATACAGACAATTCGTACAAAACATTTGATTTCGATTTAAAAATCATTGCATCGAAAGCTCGTATTTACTACTCATTTATGAAACATTGAAAACTCAAAACGAGTGCATAGAGTATTTGCCGCCGAAAATTGCAAATTGAGTTAATGGCAAAAGCCATCACCTGCGCCGCCCCCAACACCAGTCCATATATTCCAACACCACCTGCCCTTCATTTGCAGGAAATTCAGGGCATTCAATGTATTTTCATCGCAAAAATAGTTTTCATCTAAATATGACTCTAACATGAGGGGAGTTGTATTGTTCCTAATAGTAGTACAGAAGCAAAAATTTGTGACTAATTTAATGTTTCAAATTCTGTAACAGTAGTTACAACGATTGCAATGAACTTTTCAATAATTAAACAAATGTTGAGAGAAACCTGACCTTAGTTTTGTTTAATATCACGTTATGATGAGCCTATTAAATGACTCAAAAGCTTAATTCACTTATGTGCTTAATTATCAAAATTAATTTATCTACAATAAAATTTGTATGCTGATTTATAAACATTGAATCTTAATATCTTACAATACAATAATATAAAAATATCTTGTTACAAACAAATGATTTAACTGTAAGATATTACTGTGTTGTACAATACAAATTTTCATGTGTTACTTAAAACCTTTATTACAAAAGCAACTCAAATACTATGTAATAATATACTCATTGAACTAAATTAATGTATCATTTAGTTAACATAAAACAATTTTATTGTATACAAAATGTAAGAATTTATTAAACACACAATTTTCTGTTATTAAATTAAGTATAAAACATATAATTTTGTTAAACAATTACTAAAAGAGAACCATTAGAACAACTATAAGATATCATTACTATTATGAGTA